CGATGTGGGAAGAGCACGGGGCAGAACGGCCAGTCCAGGACAACCCCCCCTCCCCAGCCCACACCGGCCAAGGACCCAGACTGACAAATGACTCAGCCATGCAAACACCCAAACCAGGCAGAGGCATGACTGCGGAGATGGTGCTGGATCAGAAATCTCAAAGGTTGCTCGGCTTTGAGGCGGGGGCATCCGGGGTGTGGGCGCGCTGTACTTATGGGGAGGGGGCTGTCCCTGGACCTCCACCCGCAGCCTCCGGCGGCTTCAGTTGCCTGAAATGGTGTCATGAACCCCCATCCTACCTTTGAGCACTTGCAGGATGCTAGACTCTTACAGACATAAGTATTCAATCTTAAGGGCCCCAGTCTCCCTAAGAGGAAATGAGGGCATGCAGTTTCTGGGGCGAATCTCAGTGGCGTCACCACTATCCGATGTTACTAGGTAACCCACTCCCACACAACTAATCAAGGTTCACCCCCATCACTGAACACTGGGTCCCGCTGCACCCACATGGTTCCCGGCACCCCAGCCAGGGGCTTGCAAAAGCGCCCTGTGTTGAATTCCAGACCCCTCCCCAACCGCCAAGCCCCTGCCTAGCACAGCCTGTTCTCCGCTCGCTTGCGAGGACCCGCGTGATGAGGTGAGACTTAACAAGTGGCCCAGGCCAGCAGCCGCGTGTCTATTTTCAGCCGCAGACACTTTACCTCCAGTGAAGTCTGACACCTGTCCCTGTGGCAGGCTCCTTCCGCTCAGGCCTGCCCTGGAAGGTTCCCGCTGCCTCTGGAAAGGACAGGCTGCAGAGGCGGCCTTGTTTTGTTTTTTGTCTGTTTGGGGGGCTGCAGGGCTGAATTTGGACGGCTGCTGCTCAGAATCCGCCCTGGGCAGCAGTTGGCTTGCTCTCCCCTGGGGCTGCCTGTCATGGCTGTGCCAGCCCCTGAGAATGGGCCTTCTTCCCTGCCTGTCGCCCCTCCCACCCTCCCACCCAGCCCCAGCTCTCCCTTCTCAGTAGGAGTCACCTTGGCTGTTTCCTCCTCACTTTCCTAAGCCAGGCCCGCCCTGTCCATCCCCTGGTGGTCTCAAGCAGTGCTGTCCACTCTGGGGAACATGTGGCTGCTGAGCCCTTAAAATACACTCGAGTGAACATACACACCAGGTTTAGGACTTGGTACAAAAAGAATGCAAAACCTCTCGTTGATAATTTTTTTCTCAAACATCTTTAAATGACGGTATTTTACTATACTGGGTTGAATAGAGCATCGCAGTAAAACCAACTTCACTTTTGGTTTCTTCTAATTTATGTGGCTCCTAGGAAATTTAAAATCATGGGAGAGTAAGTTCTGGCCTTGATGTCTGCTGCTGAGTTTCACTGGTGAGGGAAGGTTGGGGGGAGATATTTCGGGGTTCTCCATTTGATCTTGCTGCTGATTATCTCCTAGAATATCTATACTTGAACCCACAACACCAACCATGTTCACTTCCTTTCCAAACCTCACTGAGCATGTATGAGAAAGTCACCTTTCGCGTCACCTTGACCTTGGTTTCTATGGAGCTGGCCGGGAGGCCCCTCACTCACACGGAGACGTAGAGTAGAGGCCCCACACATTGGGAGGGGGCCCAGCAGGTCCTGCTAAGCTATTTCCTAGCTTCCCAAGCTAGCCCTATGCTGTGTCTCACTGGGACAAGATCTTGTGTAGACAGCGCCTCTGGCACCCCGTGGATAAAGATGCATGTGCAGAGAAGAGGGCAAAAGAAACCAAAACCAGGCATTCTGGAGGCCTGTTCACCCTGGTAGCCTCTTTCCCCATCTCCCAGAGGACTCAGCTACGCTTATGGTCCAACTCACACGATATCAGGGAGACAGAAACAGGTCCACCTTTGGCTGCAATAATAAGCCGAGGACAATAAGCTGAAACCCCAAGGTTAACTAAAGGAGACCCACACCAAGGGCCCTCAGAGAGGTCCTGGGGGCCAGGGGTGTTGAGGAATGCAGACCCAAGCATCAGGAGACCTCCCAGACAAAGGTCCAGTGCCCAGCCCTCGGGAGAAGCCTCTGGGGACAGGGAGTAGCGCCACCGGCCAGCGGGAGGAAGGAGAGAGCTGCAGAGAACCTGAGCTGGGTCTCGCAGGGCCTAGAAGTCGAATCAAAGGCCTCGGCGCTAGCTGGAAGGCAGCTCTCAGGACAGCCGTGGCACAGTCGTGGCCCCCAGGAGGCTGGCGGCTCTGTCCTGCGCAGGTGCGCTGGAGTTGCTGGAGCAACGGCTTGTCTCCGACTCACCTGGGTGCTGGGTAAAGTGGGCGGGCGAGGCCTGCCTGTGAGAGCAGTGCAGCCACACTTGCTCAGCATTCGGTGCTCTGGGAGCCTTCTGTGGGCAGCTCTGTATGTACGATCCCACACAGCAGAAAGGCGGCAGGGAACAATGGAGGATGGCCATTGGTTTCTTGAATGTGTGGCAGAATGAATGGTGGGGACCTGAGACTCGTGGTCTTTACAGAACAGTTTTAATGCATTGGGTTAAATTGTACCACATGAGCGGTTTAATGGGTTGGATTCTGAATCTAGGCCCCCTTTTGAGAGGTACAGAGCCCAGCTGGATAACAATCAATGGAGCTCCTGCAATAAGCGTCAGACTCTGAGAGGAAGGGAGTTTGCAGACGGGGACGGGACATAGAGCCCCGGCCCTGCAGAGGGAGGTCCAGCCCACCAGCCTCCGCTCTCTTCCTGCAAGCGCCCCTCCACAGCTCTCCTGTATCCCCCCACAGAGCCTGCTGGCTCCAGCTTCTCTCTCAGTCCTGGAATTAATAAAGACTCTGAACAGACTGCGGTTTGCAAGTCTGAAAGCCAGTTCCTGCCCACGTCACAGCCCCCGAGAGGAGTGGGGCCCAGCTCTCCCCAGAACCCCTTTCCTTCTCCCTGGGAAGGGGGAGGCAAATAGTTTCACCCCCTGACCTACTCCACCCCCAGCAGGAACCCTCTTAGATTCCAAATCTCAGGACCCTAACCCCAAACAGCTCCTACTCCCAACAACAAGGGCTTTCTGGGGTCCATAGACCACCCTAAAGATATCCATGAATAAGAGGATATATATATATACTACCCTGGAAGTAAGGGCTTGCTATGTAAGCTTGCAGATGATTTTCTTAGTATGCCCACTCCCTTTCAAACTCGTGGAGCTGCTGCCAACCTGAGACCAGGTGGAGAGAGGAATGACCTGGAGAGAGCCACGCCAGGTATTACACTGAAGGCAAGCGGTGCCTGCAGCGCACACCTGAGCTGGCCTGTCCAGCAGCAGGTCAGTGTAGACCATTTTGGCTCCAGCAAGCACTGCGTGGAAAGACTGGACCACATTTTATTTATCTTTGCAATAACCCTCTGAGGCAGGGATATATGTCATTTGACCAATGAGGAGGCTGAAGCTGTATGAAAAGTTTACCACGCTCGAAAGTACTGGAATCAGAATGTAACCTTAGGCCCCACCTAAGATGGCCATCTGTCTCCACTCCTGGCCGACCTTGCTAACCCTCCAGACTGGCATGCTGCTCCCAGCAGCCAGAGGACCCCTTCAACTCCTTCCCTGTGAATGGCTGTATCCTCCCCCATTCTCCATCTGGATGCAAGGAAAACCTCACAGAACTCATGGCCTTGACTTTTGTCCCTGACAAGCTATGGTGTAGGCCAGCACCAAATTTGGCGCCCAAATCTCTTCCCCACTTTGGGGGGCAGACATGACCCTCCTCTCCTTCCAGCTCCCTATCCCAATCCATGGCAAAATTCCAGAGGGATCTCATGGCCAGGAGACAAGCGCAAGCTCTCCTGAAGTGCCAGTCCCAGCTGCGTCAGCTCAGGGCTGCCCCCTCCTGATCACCAGAGGAATGTCATCCCTGAGCCTCACAGCCAGGAGAGGAGAGAAGCTACAGTCTGGCAGCTCGCTAGTCTGGCCTGGGGACTAGTAGTGTCAGCATTGGGACAGGTGGGGGGCAACTAATATGGGGGAGCTTGTCTAAACGGGGTCTCCTAAAGGACACCTGAGCGTCCAGCCTGAGCTTTATCAGACACTGGCTTGTGCAGGCCTATTAGGGGACTGAGAACTCGATCCATGCAGAAGGAAACCCTGGGGTGCATCAGGGACCCCACCTGCCCCAAGCTGACCCAGAGGACAACACCCAAGGGCACTTTAGGACTTCCCAAGCCATTCCTCTAGCAGAGTCCTCATCTCTGCCAGCACGGACCCCAGACCTGCCTGACACCCAGCTCCAGTCTCAGGTAGGAGGCTGAGACCTTAGCCTATGTAGAGCATCATAGCAGCATCGTAGTGTGGCAGGGTCTTCCCCAGTGCCTCACTGAACAGCAGTGTCTCTGTAGTCCCTCGCCTCTGCAGACACTGGCCCCCAGGCCCCGACCCAAGCTGTGCCCATCAGGGCTCCTTCCCGCATTTGCACAGACTGCCTCTAACCAGGTCTGGGGGTGTTGGGGGAGACTGGAGGGCCGGGTGGGGGCAGAGGCGCGGGACAGCTGGCCTGTGTCCCCACACTGGGCCCGGGGCCCAGCCGGAGGGGCGGGGGCCTGGCCACTCAGGCCTTGGCTGGGGCCGGGATTTTTGGCCGGGCTGCAGGGCCCTCCCTCCTGCTTCCTCTCCCGAGGGCTGTCCTGGCAGAGGCCCCCTCGCACTTTCTGGCGGGAACAGGGCCAGCAGTGAGAGAACAGCCACAGAGGGAAGCAGAGAGATGGGGGAAACTGTGTGTGTGTGTGTGTGTGTGTGTGTGTGCGCGCGCGCGCACGAACGTGTGTGTTTTAAGGAAAAAAGTCCACAGTCCAGTCAGCCCCAGCCCGGGAGGCTTGTGAGCCGGGCCTTTCGTAATTGCCCCCCTCCCTGCGGCCCCCTCCCCCAGGCCTCCCCCTCCTCCCGCCCTCCAGCCCGCCCTCTCTCCCTCCCTCCTTCCCTCAGCCGACCAGGCAGCAATTACGCTTTGGGGATAAAACGAGGCGCGGAGAGCGGGCTAGGGCATTTCTCCCCGAGATGGCGGGTCTGACAGCTGCAGCCCTGCGCCCTGGAGTCCTCCTGCTCCTGCTGTCCATTGTGCGCCTCTCGCAAGCTGGAGGTAGGCCTCGCCCTGTTCCCAGCCGGCCCGGCCCGCGGCCTTGGGCCTCCCTGCCAGGTGCTTGGACTGACGGAGGAGAGGGCAGCCTCCGTCTTGAGTCTTCAGGGGTCCTAGGCAGGAGCCCCTCAGCCACTGGACCCGTGAACTCCCCCTCCCAGAGGTAGCCCAGGCAGCCGAGGAACCTGTCACACAGGCTGCAGTGGTCCCGACCCACTGTCCAGGTTCTGCTGTCCTGAGCGGGCCGAGATCCCCACTGCTCTGTCCCGGCTGCTCTCCCGGCAAGGGGACTGGGAGCATGGAGGGGAGGGTCAGTGGGCCCCCTCGGGTCCTATGGCGACAGCAGTTTGCACAGCTGTGGCCCCAGCCAGGTGAGCATGTGTGCCCTGGGGACAAGGGACCTGGCCAGCTGAGCCTCCAAGCTGTGTGAGCTCGGCAGGTTCCTTGTCCCCTGGGAAGCCATGAGCCCCTCTGAGGAAGGCTAGGGTTGATTATGGGGTTGTGGGTTGGAAAACTGCCACTGGGATCTGTCTCTGGTGAGGAGGGCCGGGATTTCCAAGCACTGTGTGCGTGTGTGAGAGACTGAACAAGTGTGTTGTGTGCCCTTCCACAGGTGCGCATGTGTGTATCTGCCCAAATAGACGGCCAGACAGTGGAGCAGGTTCCTGGGAGGAGGTGAATGTGTTCACAGACTGTCCTGGACAGGTGTGTGTTTGTGTGTGTGGGTGTGTACAGTGGGGTCAGTGAAAGTGCCTGTCAGCATGTGCCACCCTCAACAGGCTGAGACACATGGGAGCTCTGGTGGCCAGGTGTGTCACTGCGTGTGGACTGTCACTGTGCGTGGGACTGTGTGTGCTTGCATGCCCAAGTGTGTGAGGGGTGTGGTATGGAACCTGGGAAGCTGGGGTAGGGGGACATGTCCACCTCTGGGCAGCGGGAGTGTGACAGTGGCAGGAGCTGTAGCAGACCTCAGGTCAGTCCTGGACCTCCTGGTGTGTGCCCTACCTCAGACGGCAAAGGTACCCCTTTGGGGCAGTCATACACCTGGGGCTGGGGTGTGGCTGGGAGTGGCTCCCTAGGGGCTCAGTGGCCGTGAGAAGAGAGTTGCAGGCTCAGGCGCCATTTGGTAGGGCGAGCTGGGTGGGGTCTGGTTTCTGTGGGAGTCCTCTGGTCATGAGAACCAGACATCAGTGGGGGCCTGGGGGCACAGGGTGGAGCGGGGCCAGGCGCAGGGCTGGAGTAGGAGGCTGGGCAGGAGCAGCAGCTGTTTCCGTGAGATTGCCGGCTGGCAGGACCTCTGGGAGCAGGGCTTCCTGCACAGGGCAGCTTCTGGTCGGGCCAGGGACGTGCACACCTTCAGGTGGGGCCCAGGAGGGGAGCGAGACAAGCTCGGGAGACCTGCAGCTCCAGGGACCTGCAGCTCAGGACGCTGCTGAACCTGCTCTAGGTGTGACTGTTGAACACCTGCCTTCCAGCAGGGGCTTGCACCTAGAGCACGCGAGAACCCTTACAGCTGGGAATGACCATCTTCACTCTGCAGGTGGGGGAACTGAGGCTCACACAGGCCAAGGCAGCCCCCCAGGATTAGTATTAACCTGTTGTCTGGCCTAGGCCAGAGGGTGAGGGAGTGGGGTGCAGGTACAGGAACATTTGGAGAGGGGGAGGCCTGGGTTGGGTTCTTTGGGGGACAGACTCCCTAGAATAGAATCTGCCCTCTCTTTGTGTCCTTAGTGACACCAGTAAATGTTCTGCTGACCTCGTTCTTCCTTTGCAAACATAAATCTCAGCTCTGTCCCAAGTCGCCAGAGGAACTGGATCCAAATAAGGGCTGTGTGAATTGATGAGGTGTTCTGGGGCAAAATCTAGAAGCTGGGAAGTAGGAGGAGCCACATGCACACCACACATACTCATTCTCACACTTTCACATGCTTACTCTCTCTCTCTCACACACAGCCACGCGTCTGGCTGCCCTGGGAAATTCAGTCTCCCCCACCCCAACAGGTAGCACCCCACAAGTTCCTTGGCTCCAAAGGAGCATGCAGTCAGTGGAGGGGAGAAAGGGGCTGCCTGGAAAGACTGCGATGACAGGGTCGTCTCGACCTGCTTAGGGTGGGTCAGAGTGACTTTGAGGACCAGCTGCCCCCAGTCCCCATGCCATTGAAAAGGAAAGAGAAAAATGTTAAATCAGGTCTCCCTCTATTAATTCTTTCCCCCCAGAAATATCAGCCATTGTTTTTCCCCCTGATTTTGGAATTGAAGATGGTTTGGAACAGAGGTTTTCAACCCTGGCTGCGTATTAGACTTACCCCAGAAACTCAACAACTCCCAGGCAGGGTCCGAGAATTCCGGCTTTGCTGGGTCTGTGGCCCAGACCTAGAAGTTTCATAAAGCTGCCCAGGTGACTCTGGGGAGCCTCGGGTGGGAGTGATCCTGCTCTCTGTGTCTGCTGGAGCGGAGGCAGGAGGGCAGCCTTGCCCAGAGGAGGGAGGGGACAGTCACCCTCTGGAGGACAGATTGTTTTTGAAAAAGCCTTGGCAGCTTTTTCCATGCAAACAACAAACAGCTTCATGAGGTCTTATCTGCTCCCCAAGCCTACCCCCTGGACTTAGGCTTGGCAAAGCCCCCTGCCAAGCCCTGCTGGCCCGCTGCTTACTCCAAATAGCCTTCTCCCAGATCTCTGATCCTGGACGCTGGGGCCCAGGCAAAAGGCCCTGCGCCTGACCAGGGTCAACGGTAGGTCCCAGAGCTTCCCTTCACGGGCTCTTGGCTTCCCAGGCTATAAAAAGGGCAGAAATATCCCTTCCCAGCTTATCTCCTAGGACAGAGGGAAGCTCCAACAATATAACAACTGAAAAAAAAAAAAAAGGCATGAAATAGGAGAACTGTAGAAATGTGCATTTTTAGAACAATCTATTCTGTTATTCAGAATCTGCTGTGTCAGTTGGTCCCATGTTACCAGTGCACATTTATAGCTTGAATTTTCCCTCTTCTACTCACCCCATATTTTGTTTAGGGGGGAAGGGCAGCCTGTAAGCAGAGGTGCAGTGATGGAGAAGCAAACAGGCATGAACCCCAAGAAATCCGGGAAGGCTTCACTGCAGAAGTGACATTTGAGTTAGGCCTTGAAAAGTCAATGTTGGAGGGGCTGTGCCACTGTCTATGGGGCTCTGGAAGGCAGAATTGGCAAGACAGAGGGGCAGCTTGCATGTCAGCAGGAGGGAGCCCTCACCTCAGGTAGCTGGTAGCATCCGTGTGGCCCTGACTTTCCTGTCCCTGGAGGCGTGCGAGCAGGAGCACAACGGAGTAGTTTGCAGAGGATGTTTCAGCCTCAGCCAGAAGGCTGCTATGATCACAGACTCTAGGATCATAATTCTAAGATGCAAGAGACAAGTCCCACCCTAGGCTCGCCAGTGAAATGAGCCAAACCCACATAAAACAAGACAAGTGTGCTGCAGGCCAACTGCTTGGGGCCAGCTGAGCAGCGCAAGCTCGGGAAGGCAGGAGGGAAAACGTGCTCAGGCTCAGCCTGGGTGGAAGGGTAGACTTGGGATGAGGTGAGGGCGTTCCTGGCAGGATAAACGACTCCTGCCAAGGAGTGGAGGTGGGAAGGAAGAGGTCCTGCTGGGGCCCCGGAGGCGACCCCTATCTTTTTCAAAAGCCCTTGACTGACTGCTTGATTTTCTTCTCCCCTCTCTCGCACTTGAAGAGAGGCCAGCAATGCAGGATCTGTTACACCACCCATTTCCTCAGTGCAAGATGGGGGTCAATTCCCTAGCTCCTCAGACTGTCTTGGTTCAGGCATGGGGTTTGACGACTACCTTTGGGATCTGAATCATGGAAGTGGGAAGTGGGGGGAAGGTGAAGGTGGGGAGACAGGACCTGCCTCAGGAGAGAGGAAGGCAGAGAAGGAACAAGGGTATGAGACAGCAGTGTGTGACCAAGGACGTGGGGGTTCAGCCAGGCAGGGGGGCTACATCTGGTCAAGCAGAGAGAGGCGTGGGGTCACTGGGTATGGGAAAGGTGGGACCCCGACCCACAGGCACATCCTGAGGTACCCGCACCTAGCACCCATTCACTCAGTACTACCAGATACGTGGGCTCAGGCCCCGTGTTGTGCAGTACAAGCAAAGGGTCACCACATTTTTTTTTTTTTTTTGAGCAATGACTGTGTGCCAGGCCCAGAGGGTAACGTGTCTTACACCATAACTTGTAAAAAAAAAAAAACCTGAGAGGCAGCAGTTAGCAGCCCCACCTTGCTAAAGATGAAACTGACATTCAGCGGGATTAAGTGAGTTGCCCAAGGTCACCCAGATGGTAGGAAGTGGCCCAGCCAGGGTAGAGATCAGATGGGGTTGTCCAGATCCCTTGTTGTTCCACCACCAAGCTCACTGCTCTGGAGTCAGAGCAGAGAAGTGAGGAGAGCGCAGCAAAGGCCAGAAGGCGAGCTTGGGGCAGACAAAGCCTGGAGCACAGCAGGGGAAGGCACAGACTAGACGTGCTCCGCGCTGGAGGCCGGAGCCAGGGAGCGAAGGCATCAAAGCCCCGAGGCAGGCCATGTGTGCGCTTGGCAGGCGATGACAGGGCCAGAGCGTTCTTTCCCAGCAGGCCCAGCCTCCTGGGGCCACGGCTTCGAGGCCCAAGTCTGACCAGATTGCTTGCACACTCCAGGCCTGCACTGTAGTTCCTGGGCAGCCGCAGGCCTGAGGCCGGAGGGGGGGCAGGAGGGGTGGCGCCAGGGCTTTGGCACAGGATGGCCATGACAACTTGGCATCTCCTACCCCGCTGGGCTGCAGCTGGGGCTGATGGGGCCGGGCCCAGCTGGGCAGTGTCGCAGGCCATGGAGGCCAGACGTCTGGCCACGAGGACTCTGGACACACTACAGAGCTGCTTGCCACTGTCCCCCAACCCTGCCCGTGCTCCTTTCAGCAGGGTGGTGCTGGGGCTCAGGACTCAGGTCAAGGTCATGGCCCTCCTGTGGTGGTGGGGCCAGGGCCAGGTCCTCACCAGGACCGTCTGCTGTCCTGACGATGATGCACAGGCTGGGTCTGCAGCCTGGCATCACAGCGTCCTCAGCGAGCACGTCACTTGTCTGTGGGGGCTGAGCTCGTGTTCTTGGCTGGGCCGGCGGCCCGTGGCCTGGGCCATGAATTAGCTTTTCCTTAGGAAACTATTCTCCCTGCTCATTCATGTTGCCCCCTCCCCCTCCTTCGGAGGGCCCGGCGCCTCCTGAGACAGCCTGTGTCAAGCAGCCAGAAACTTCACCCAGCCCCCACTGCCCAGCGACTGGGACGCTGACTTCACGCCATCCTATCAGTGTGAGAATGGCCCATTTCTCTGCTGGCAGCGGTCACTGTGGCGGCCCTGCCCGCCCTCCCTCAGCTGCCCTTGCCCTCCCGGAGCCGGAGAGAAACAGGCTCAGACCCAGCGAGGCCATGCTGGGCCCTCTCCAAGGGGCAGCCAGAGCAGGTGAGGCAGTTGAGTACTGTCACACTCAGAGTGGCTGGCTGGAGGCCAGATTCCATCCCTCCCCAGCTGTGTGGCCCCAGGCGCACTCCTTAAGCGCTCTGAGCCTGAGCTCACCACTGTTGAAATGAAGATGTTCATTCCTGCCCTTCCAGCCTCACAGGATCATTTCCAGAAGCATGAATGAGAAATACTTTATAAACATAAATTGCTTTATAGCCATGTGCTAACATCCTGACCTGACAGTTTTAGTTCTGGCTAACGGAGGACTCTGTCTGCTTCCTTCCAGGGGTCCCAGGGGCCATTCCTGGTGGGGTTCCTGGTGGAGTCTTTTACCCAGGTAATGTACCCCAGGCCCGAGTGAAACCGATCATGATGACTTCGGAAGAAAAGCACATTTGACATTGTAGAATGAAAGAGAGTTGGCAAGTAGGAGCCACAAGTCCCTCCTACTTTGATTTATTTATGCATACAGAACTGGGGTACAGGCCAGAGATGCAGGGGTGGTGGAAAATTCGCCAAAGACAGAGCGGGTTGCAGAACAGGCAGATCCATGAAGTACACTGCTGAGGGGAGCAGCGGGCGAAACAGGAGAGGTCTGCAGGGCTCCATGTGGGTCACCTCTGAGGCCTGGGATCGAACCCACACTGAAGCGGCTGCAGCTGGCTTGCAGTGCTGTGTCCTAACCCATTGCACCACCAGGGAGGGCCCCCCTCCTACTTTGAAAAGCAGTCAGCATGACAGCTGTCAGGAGCTCACTTTCTGACGGCTATTGCGGAGTGGGTGAGGCTGTAGAAATGGAGCCCTTCACACTCCTGCCAGTCCTAGTCCTCAAAACGTTAGCCCCACTCTTGGGAATCCACTCAAAGGAAATAATTGGCAGAAAAGAGAAAAAAAGCCACCAGCAGCAAGGCTTGTAGGAGTGACGCTTGCAGAAATGAAAAGCCAGAAACCCACCTTTAGAGTCAATTGAAAATTTTAAAGTAATCTTTTCAATACTCAAGGAGCTTTTACGTAAGTGTTCAGAACTGATGTCGGTAGGAAGGTGACTCCTGGGGCCCCAGGCCCACGCTGCGGGGGCTGTTGGCCCAAGGAGGAAACTGAGGCTCACAGAGATCACTTAGCTTGGGAGCGTTAAACGTGACCTTGGATTGGGGTGGTTTCCGTGAGCAGCACTAACAGCCTCTCTCTCTCTTTCAACACAGGGGCTGGCGTCGGAGGCCTGGGAGCAGGAGGTAAGCTCAGAAACCAAACCTGGTTCCTCACTGACAGCAGCTGGTGAAACTCTAGCCCATCGAGATCCTCAGATCTCAGAACCCCAGAAGGCCCACGCAGCAAGGGCCCCTGTTTCACAGACCAAGCATCCACTGGGGAGATTTGTCTGAGAACTGGAATCCATGGCCCCCAGCCTTCCCCCTGGGCTCTCTCCCTGCAGCCTTGCCTTCTTTCATATGCCCTCTGAGCCCACCACATCCCTGATGGGCTGAGCCGATGTCACTGTCCCCTTTGGAAGCTGAGAAACTGAGTCTCAAAGTGTGTAACCCACAAGTCAAAGCAGAGCCAGGCTCTCCACCCCTGTGACTAAACACTAGGTTCCCATGGGCTCCCTGTCCAGAGACGGGACCTCCCCGATAGCCCTTTTAGGACTTGGGCAGGGGGGCGGGGGGTGGGGCTGGCGCAGAATTCCCTAATGCCTTCACTCTGGCCTGGGGGATAAATAAAACTGCAACCAGAACCACTGTTCACTGCCTTCTCTTCCCTCTACAGCGTTGGGACCTGGAGGCAAACCACCCAAACCAGGTAAGCTCAGAGCCTCAGAGCTCCAGGAAAGGGTGGGGGTGGGAAACAGAGCGGAGTGCCCAGCAAGGCATCCAAAGGCCAGGAGAAGGAAGAGAGGTGTGAACAAGCTGGAACCATGCCCCTGGGCTCCAGGGACAGAGGCCGGAGGCAGCTGTTGTTGTATGGCACCAATGCGGCCATGCCCATGTGCCCAGCAGCCCAGCACCTCTCTTCTGCAGTTTCAGAAACAGCCCTGCTGCTGGGGCTTTGGGCTGGTATTCCTGGGGCAGCCAGGCCTATAGATATCACTCTGGAGCTCAGACACAAATGGTAGGGCCCAGACTCCTCCTGGGGCATCCTCTGACCCAGACCAAGCCCTCTCTAACCCAGGCAAAGAGCCTAGACAGACCTGACCTTGGTGACGATCTGAGCCCAGACCAAGCCCTGAGCTTTACCCCAGGCTGAACCCTGATGCTGGCCCCAGAGGAACTCCCATCCTAATCCCAGTTCCCCTCCAGCTGTGTCCAGACCATGGAGTTTTCCAGTAAGAAGATGTGGCTAGATCTGCCTGGCCTTGCTCCTGGGGTCCACCATCAGCCCAAGGAATAATCCCCAAGAAAGAGGGAGGGAGGGAGGGCGCTTCAGGAAGCACTTGTGGGTGAGGAGCAGGTGGAGGGAACAGCGTCTCTGCAGATTTATGTCTCCATCATGAGAGGCTCCACATGTGGCCTTGGCTCTCCCCCTCTGTGTCTCCCAGCGCCGAAACCCAAGGCTCCAGAACACAGTTTGTATGTCCAACAGCTCTTACGAAATCACAAAGTTCGATGATCCAAGTGCAAATGAATCTACAAGACCAAGATTTCCCTGGTTGTGAAACTCCAGGGCTGGGGTCAGGCAATAGAGAGCCAGCGTGCTGGGGAGGGGTGGGGGTGGGGGGGCGGGAGGCAGGCAGACTGGACCAGGGCTTTCCTGGGTACTGTGGGTGGGGGTGGGGGCTTGCAAGGCAGGATCCCTTAGGGTTCACGTTTCCTCCTGCAGAAGCCCCATCCTGTCTTCCTGAGAGCTGAGCCATCTTAACAGGATCTTTGTTGATGGAGAGAATACAGAGCAGGCTAGATCAGCAAAGCGGGAGTTGGACTGTGCTTACCCTAAAGCTAGACGGGCCTCGGTTGGTCCCACTGGCAGCTCCCCTGCCAAGCTGTGACTGAACAGTGAGGGAAGATGGAGAAAACTGCCTCCAGAGTCCCATAAATGACAGCCTCTATAGTGAGACTTGCATTGAGGAAAGAGCCAGTTTAGCTGTCCAAAAGAAATTCCAGCCTCAGGTAAAGGAGTGAAGCAGAAGGATTTAAGGTATCTGATGAAAAGGGTCTGGATTCCACGGCCCCTACGCCCAGGTCATCTTTTGGCCTGGGGACTCAGGCTTGGGAAGGCTGGGGCAGGACCCCACAGCCACACTTCCTGGTGTGTGGCAGTCTGGGCCTGCCCCCGGCGGGGTGGACGGGAGTGCAGGCAGCATGTGTCGGACTTGGGAACAATTAATCCCTTGGCCAATTAATCCCTTGGTGAGTAGACGGTGGGTGGCCTGGCAGCTGTTCTGTGGGGGCCTGAGGGGGTTGGTCTCCTGCCTTGGCTCTCGGCAGGAGACCAGGCAGCTGGGAGCCGGTACCACCCACATCCTGAGCACCAGCTGGAGGCCAACCACCCACCTGAGACACAGGAAGGGTCACCTACTGGGCACCCTGGCAGGTTGCGCTCAGTGCTTTCTGTTCGCAAGCTCACTGGGCCCCGGACGGTCAGGGCATAATGACCATTGGGTATTGGGAAAGCTGAGTCACAGAGACTTGCTTGTGCACTGGAAGTAAGTGTGCAGCAGGATTTGAGTCAGAAGGGAGAAGTCTGACGTCAGAAGGGAGAAGCTTGGGCTGGCCAGGCCCCTGGGCTCCCAGCTATGGGATTGCCCACCCCTCATGCCTCTTTCCTCCTTTCCAGGGGCTGGACTCGGGGCATTTGCACCAGGTGAGTCCACAGGAAGGAAGGGAAGAGGAGAAGGAGCGGCTCAGCCCACAAGGGAACCTGGGAAAAGGGCAGGAGGCCTTTTAGGGCCAGTCCTCCTGTGGTCAGGAAAGGTCTGAACATGTCTCCTGCCCTCGTGGAGCTCAGGAAGCAGGCCTGGCTCAAGAGAAGCTCCTGATGGAACTGGGGAAGGGCAGGGCCTGTGCTGGGAAGTGAACTGGCGTCACCACGCCTGCCCAGACTTAGAGACCCATCTTGTAGGGGTGCTGACTGAGTTACCCCTGGACTTAGAGGAGTTAGCTCACACAAGTAGGAAATTGAGGAAGGGAGGGGGAAGGGGAGAGAACACACGCAGTGAAAGCCAGGGAGACCCTCTGGGGCTCAGCAGTCCTCGTGTCTGGGCTCTATCCCCAGGGAGGTCCCCTTGGCCTTGGGGCCCTGGCAGTCAGGACTGGCACTTGCAGAAGAGAATCTCACATAATTGGAAACAAATCCGGCACGATTGTGAACTCCAACTTGATTGCCCATCAGTCCTGGCCAAGGCCATGGAATGTCCCCTGGAGGGGGAGATGGAGCAATTGGGCCCAGATGTGGGAAGGAGAGAGCCAGAGGGACCCATTTGGCTTCTCATAAACATTTTAGCATCCATCTGCAAGTGAGGAGACTCTTGGATGGCAGGGCAGCCTGGATGGACAAAAAGATAAATGGTGGGAGACAGAGGCTTCAGATACAGGAGCGGAGGTGTGGCTTGATCCAAGCACCTGAACAAGAAAGGAGGGTCTGGAGTACTGGTACGAATGGTGATGGCAGGAAAGCCTTGGCCTGGGTAAGGCCTTGCTGGCAGACTTTCTCAGCTCCAGCCCTTATAGAAGTTTCTGCTGGGTCACCTTCTAGGACACTAAGGCCTGGCCTAGGTACGTGACGGAGAGTCCATGCAATAACATGTGCATGGCCCGCAGAGCTGGGCCTTAAGGAGACTGCTTTGAATCAGGCTTGACTCCCAAGTACCAAAGGCCTGGGCCCAGCTTAGGGGCCTGAGTGGCTGCATACTGACCACAGACTGTCAGTTTCCTGCCCCTCTTCACGGGTCCAGGAATGACACCCTCACTCCAGCCTCCCCTCACCTGCCTGCTTCTCCCTGCAGGTGCTGGAGCGCTCGCAGGCGGAGGCCCTGGGGCAGGTTAGTGTTGACACGCAGGCAAGGTATCCTCGGGGTGCCAGAGTCAGAGCACCTGGCCAGTCTGAAAGGTGGTCAGGGTCCATGGGGCTGGGCCAGGCTTGTGCTGGACGCTGGCATGAATGCTGAGATCATCTGGCCAAACAGCTGCCCAGGGCACAAAGCAGCCACAGCTGGGCTCTGGGTATATTCTAACGCAGTAGTAAGGACAGAATGGAGGAAGCCCGTGGGCTGAAAGACCCTAGAGGTGTGTCTCAGCTCAGTGGGGTTTCAGGAAGGCTCTCTGAAGGGGGTAGGTCAGAAGTTGGACCCTGAAAGACCGTGCAGTTTTGTCAGATGAAAGGGTACAGTCAAGTGCAAACTGCTCTCCAACCCTCACCACCGGCCTGGGAGTGGCAGTGGCCACTTGGCCTGGAAGTCCTGCAAAGGCACAAGAGCCTGAGCTGGGCCTCCCAGGTGGGGCAGGGCCAGGTGGCCTGGGGCTTGGGACTTCACCCTGGACTCCTCTCTGCAGGGCTGGGAGCCTTTCCTGGAGGCGCCTTCCCAGGGGGAGTGGCACCTGGAGCCGCCTTCCCAGGAGGAGTGGCACCTGGAGCCGCCTTCCCAGGGGGGGTGGTCCCCGGAGGTGCTGCTGGTGCTGCTGCAGCCTACAAAGCTGCTAAGGCTGGTGAGTGTAAGGCTCTGGGACAAGACTTCTGGCCTCGATGGGCTCTCCACTTTGCTGAGAACCTTCGCTGGGAGGTGGGCGGGTGGGAGCCTCATCGCCAATCTACTACAACTCGGGGAGGCAATGAGCTGTACCCAAGTCTCGGAGGGTGGCAGGGCTACCCTGCAGTGCCAGGCCTGCAGCATGCAGTCCAGGCTGCTCGCCTCCCTCTGCTGTTAGTGTGACCCTCGCTCTCCACTCTTCCCGGTTCTGCAGGTGCTGGACTCGGTGGTGTTGGCGGCGTGGGGGGTGTCGCTGGTGTCGGAGGCGTCGGAGGTGTCCCTGGCATTGGTGGTGTTGGTGGCTTAGGAGTGTCTACAGGTGTGTTGGCCAGGCCTGAGTTGCTCAGATGAAGGCCGCAGGTCCTGGTGCAACCCACTCTGATGCATCCCCTTCCATGCCAGGTGCTGTGGTGCCTCAGCCCGGAGCAGGAGTCGGAGTCGGGGCGAAGCCTGGGAAAGTCCCTGGTTAGTGTGCAGACCCCGGGGCTGGAGGGCAGAAATCTGGGAGGGCCAGGGCCCCCCACCTCCACACTGGGCAGGAAGGGAGCACCCTAGTTGTTGCAGAGCAGGGATGGTGGTGAGGGACAGTTGGGGGGGGGTGTGGAGGGGTGATTAGCCAGGTCCAGAGCATGCCCCTGTCCAAAACAGGGCACAGGTGGCCCAGTCTCCCTTCTGAGTCCCTCTTCTGGGACCTTGGAGGCGAAAGAGACCTCAGAGACCTGCCAGGTGCCATGATGGCTCAGAGTGGAACGATGCAGAGAAGCTCAGGCAGCCCCAGAGCTAGGGTGGCCCGGGGTACTGACTCTCCATCTGGTGCAAGTTCCTCTGCACCAAGCCCTTTAGGAAGTGACTTCAGGTTGAACAAAAGGCTGCCTGAGTCCACACAGCAGGGAGGGAACATCTGGAAGCTGTTGGCCAGAGGTGGGCTGGGCCGGCCATTTAAACAGGCGCCAGGAGACAAGATAAATCCACGCACAGAAGGGGAGGCAGATGACTTCCGAAACTCGTGGGAAGACGGCTTCGGCCACCGGCCACATGTCCCCAGCCGCCCCCGCAGGGCCTCCGCGAGTCTGGCTCGGGAGCCCCAGAGCTGCCTACCCTGGAAGAGCCAGGGAGGGGTTCCTGGAGGCCAGATTTGCTGCTCACTGCTCCTCCTTTTTCTGGGCACAGGTGTGGGGCTGCCAGGTGCATACCCAGGTGGAGTTCTTCCCGGAACAGGTGAGTGCAAGAAGGGGACCCTATGGCAAGGGAAGCAGCCCCTGTTGGCCTCCCTGGAGGACCTTACCTCCCCCCAAAGCAGAAGGCAGTAGAGTGTGGATCCTGACCGGCCCTGTTTCCCTAAACTCCAAAACTCAGGACTTAGGACCCTGTGGGTCTTTCCACAAAGGGCAGCCAGCCCCCACCATCCCGCCCAAACCCAGATCACCGTCACAGACAGAGGGGGGGGTCCCAGAGGACTCACCAAGTTTCCAGTGTGACCATCTGTTTCCCAAAAGCCATGAGTCACCAGGGCCCCGCCCAGCATATCCGCCCTGTGGGGGACCCTCAGTGCTCTCACCTCCTCTCCCTGCCAGGGCCTGGCCACCCCACCTAACATGTGATCTTCTGAATTCCCCCAAAAGCCCAGATTCAGGCTCTCGGCCCCTCCTGGCCCAGTCACAGGGAAACAGGGGAGGTGGGAGCCCCGGATGCTGGCAGATGGGGTGTTGGGGCCCCAGCAGATGGCAGTTCAGGTTAGATTGTGAGTGAACTTCATGAGAGAGTCCCCAAAGGGCATAGGCTTCCCCCTCACACCAGCTGGTTCACGTCCACCTTCTCTAGTAAAGGTGTGTAGGACGGCTTGAAATTGACTCCAACTCAGAGCAGCCAGCTGAGGCATCAGTTCATGTGGCTGGAAATGGGGTTAAAACTCAGTCATCTAGCCTTGGGTCAGACAAGGAAGGAAAGTCACCCCATGAGCTGGGGCTCTGACTGACTGCACAGAAAGTCAGTTGTGTGACCTGAGGGGGCATGGGTGCTGAGCTGGACCTTGCCCTCATTGCCTAACTCCACACCTCCTCAGGAGCTCGGTTCCCAGGCGTGGGGGTGCTCCCTGGAGTTCCTACTGGAATAGGAGTCAAGCCCAAGGGCCCAGGTATGCAATCAGCTGGACCAGGGGGGCATGGTCAGGATCTCCACACACCCTCAGGACCTCTGGCCTGGAGTAATGGCGGGTGGGGGTACCTGGGTTCAGGGCCCTCCAGGCGGGCACTGCTTATGCTGTCGGTACAGGTGACCGAGACAGGCAGCACACCTTCCTGGGTCCTCACCGAGAGTGAGGGCAGTGTGGGCAGTGAGATCTGGGCAGAACTAGCTGTTGCCTCCTGCCCCTTGGTGCTGCCTGGGGCCAGCCAGCAGTGCCTCTCTGTCCAGCACCATGGTGACAGGGCTCCATGACAGCATCTTGTCATTGCAGGTGCAGGTGGACCTTTCGGTGGAATCCCAGGTGAGCCTTTAGCTGCACGGGCACGCTAGTGGGTAGGCCAGCCGGGGGCAGCCTTGCCCTAGAGGGGTGGGCCTGTCCAATTTCCCTCATGCCTCCAAGCTTTGGCTGGCCTCTGCACACGACAGCATTAGTCACAGGCCTTCTGACCACATAGCAGTCCCAAAACCCACACATTTATGCCAAATGCAGCCAAGGCTGCCGGCCCTGTGGCCCGAACCCTGGAAGAAGGAGAATCCTACACCTTGTTCCAGAGCCGGTCCTGGGGAGTACTCAGCTCCCCAGGGGTAGGAGCACCCTTTAGCAGGACGCAGTGTGGGCTCCTTCTGTCTGTGCAGAGTGGGAAGCAGGGCTGTGGGCCGAGCAGACGTGGCTCATCCAAGTTGCTGGGACCTGAGTTTGCCCTTCTTGTTCCCACAGGAGTTGGGCCCTTTGGGGGTCAGCAGCCTGGAGTCCCTCTGGGGTATCCCATCAAAGCCCCCAAGTTGCCAGGTAAGTCTCCCATCGGTGTTGAGAAATCAACTTGAGGGGCGGGGGAGACTTGCTTGGCCTCCCGTGTCTCTGAGGGGCAGCTGGGGGCAGCTGGGTGTTGAAGCCTACATCTGGTCCACATGCATGTGCGCACCCAGACACCCCTGTAGAGAAGCCATTGGTGCTGGTGGTAGGAAATACTCTTCTTGGCAAGCCCCCTCAGGCATCAGCTCCCTCACCACCAGCTCCGATGAGCTGCTTCCAGTCGAGGATGGAGAGTAAGGACCCTAGAAGATCCGCTGGACGAGGGGCAATGGGCTTCCCAGGGGGCTCTGAGGCAGGGAGCCTCTGCTCACGACCCTCAGCATGGGGACAGACGGAGAGTGCCAGGCGCTAGGGCCTGTGGTGGGAGGCCAGCCACCTAGCCTGTAGGCACTCAACAAGGCCCGAGGCTGCCTTGGGGAGCCCCTGAGCCCGCCCCCTTCTCCTCAGGTGGCTATGGACTGCCCTACAGCACTGGAAAACTGCCCTATGGTGAGTAGCACCCTCCTAAAGTGTGGGCTGGTGGCTCTTTCCAGCCATAGGGTCCTGACAAGGGAGCTGTGGCTCCAGCCTGGGCTCGGAGAGTTCTGAGCTGGGGAGAGGGAGGGTCTTGGGATGGGAATCCCCTGAGCAGGAACAAGGAACTTGGACAGTCCAGTTCTCAATCCTGACCCTCCCACTCATCTCTGGGCCTTGGGAAACAAGTTTCTTCTCTGAGCCTCTGTGTCTTCCGTGTAAACCAGGAATAATTATTTCACACATACGTTTAGGCTTGTTTTAACTCTGGCTGGGCTGACAGGATAGAGGTTCAGGGCAGCCCGACCCCCGAGGGGCAGGGGCCTCAGCCTCTCTGTTTCACAGGCTATGGGCCTGGAGGAGCAGCTGGTGCTGGGGGCAAGGCCGGGTACCCGACAGGCACAGGTAAGGAGAACGTCACCCCACTGCCAGGAAAAAAAGCCCTGATCACCCAGCTCCGGGGCCGAGATGGGCCAGGGTCTTTCTGGAAACAGACCAGCCCGGCCTGCACCAGAGAGGGAGCCTGCTGGGGTGGCTCTCCAGCCTCCGCTGTGTGAAACCCCGGGCATCCCACTGCTGAGCACAAGTGGTTTTCCCGGAGTGGAGTGAGTGCTGGGCCCTGGAGGAGCAGGGCCACAGTTTTCAGCATCTCTTCCCTCCCCCTCCCCCAGGAGTTGGTGCCCAGGCTGCAGCAGCAGCTAAAGCAGCAAAATATGGTAAGTACTTCGAG